AGCCAAATGAGGCATATCAAGGCGAAAGGACGTCTCTGACAGGAAACGCAGAGATTCAGCGTCAGCCCCGGGCTACACCCAGGGCTGAGAGTAGCAGGAAAAACATAACGCGTTGGCGTTTCCACGCATGCGCCGTTCTGAAAAGAAAAACAAACACTTTTTTTAGGGAGTTCGGAACGAGCTCATCCTAATTACCACACCGCGTATTTTTTTTTTTTTTTATGTACTTCTTATTGGGGTGTAAGTTCCGGGAGTTGTAATGAATCCGAGATAATGAGGTTCTGGAAATGACTCTCCTTCCGCCCGAAAGTGCGGCTCTGCGGGTTGGAATTGTTTTTCCGCGTCGAGAAGTTTGTCATGTCGCTGACAAGTACCCATATTTTTATTTTATATTATAACGGGCGTCGTTCAACGCGGGGCAATAAGATTAAAGATGGAGCCGCGTAAAATATTTAATCACTTGATCTTTAAGAATCAACCTTTGTTCTTTGTACGCGTATGCGACCGAGTTATCGCATTCCAAAAGTTTCAGACTAAATTTTGCACTACGTTGTTTTAATTTGTCGTTTTAATTGTGATGTAAAACGGAACAGCGGCGTTGTCGCAGTTGAATTTGCGCTTTTTTCCCCTCCGTGTATATACTGCGTGTCCCTAGTTGCGTGCAGTACAGGCGAAGGCCACTCCAGGCGAGGGAAGAAAAGGCGAGCACTAGGAAGGCTGGGGAGGTGGAGAGAAACCTCCCCTCCTCTCTAACGTTCCTAGTATAACCCTTTCTCTCATCACCCTTCTCTCCCTTCCGGCCTTCCTTGTTGCCTTCGCCTGCATTGCACACAACTCGTGACACGGAGTATAGGTTGATCTTTATTCTCAAACACACGGGGTCACACTGCTCAAACATTACCAACGGAGGGGGGGGGGGGGGGGGGGCAAGGCATGCGTTTTGCCCCGCCCCTGAAACAGCCACCACTGGGCAGGGCTAACACTGGCTAGCGGCGCCCATGGGATACCAAGGGAACCTCCCCCCGGCACTGGAGGGGAGGGGGGGGGGGGGGGTGTATGGGTCTGGTTTGCTTCCTCACTCAAAAACAAGTTGGTACGTCACTGCATTATACAAAAAACTGTCTGCAGCCAGAGGTCAGATTCCCGAAACTTTCTTTGGACAAAAAAAAGATTCGTAAATTTATCTTACGACAATGTTACAAATTTTTGAGTATTCCCGAAGCAAAATGTTCGTAAGTTTTGCGTAAGTTACGGATTTCGTCGTAACTTACGCAAAACTACTGGCGAGCGAAAGTGAAACTAGTTTTTGGAAATCCAAGCAGCCGTTGGAGTACAAAAAAAGATCACAAAAACTTTTGTTTTTCCCGGGACGTTTTTTTTTTGTTTTTTTTTTTATGGAAAAAAATGAAAATTCATTTCAGGTGCGCCCTGCGAGTTCGACGCTATTAGAATCTGCGGGAATATAGCGGTTCAAATTTATGATGGCGCTGGGAACTCAAAGATATTGCAAAGCTTGTCCATTGCAAAGGTTGTCCACGGTATGACGGGCTTAGAAAGGAAGAAAGTATAATTTTCCGAGGTTCTATTAAGTATTAACTAGTATTGTAATATCGCCTATTATCATCTTCGCGGAGATAATAATTATGTCTACAGTTTTTTGGCTGGAACAAATGTTTTACGCCGTTTTGCTGAAAACATCCGAGATGTGGCGCGAGGGGCGGATGTCTCAGAATCTCGAAAATAAGTAAAGTTTTGCGCATTGTTCATACGCCGCGTGATGTAGTTATTACAATATTTGGTTGTCGGAGGAAGAAGCGATGCTTTTGGCGTTTGAAACGTGTACGTCTTGATAAGGTAATATATATCTAATCTAAAATGTATCTAAACATATCTTATTTCTCTATGTAAAGGAACAAATGTAATACTCCGCAAGGAACCGGACTTTTTTTTTTTTTTCTACGGTTCTTGCAATTAAAACAAGTATAACGGTTTTTGTTTTTGTTTTGCCGGTTTTGGGAGATTAAGTGTAGAATTTCTGATACGGTATGTCTGACATTTCTGCGAGCAGCATATAGACCTTTTTCGCTTACTGTCGTCCACAGCCACTGGGTAGGCATATCCTGTATAAGCGAAGCCAAAATAATAAAACATTTCAACCTGCCAATTGTACACATAGAGGGAACTTAGCGTTTCACGTAGAGGGGAGGCAGAACGATAACTGGTGACGGTTACGCTTAAATCCTAAATGTATTCTATTGGTGCGGCGACGGGAACTCAATGTTTAGCCGTACTGGAAGCGACGATATTTCAAGATGGCGGCACCCTTGTGAAAAGGTCTATAGAATCACTGACAGAATGAGAACGGCAGAGCGTGTCTTTTTCGAATTTCCTACCTCCGGCCCGTGATTCATTCCTTCCGCTGGGCCCTTAGCCTCCTCTATACTCACAAACGGTCGCAGATGTGGAGCGCGAGGACCTGGTAGCACAGAGCATCAGAGAGCCATTTCTCGGAGAACCTGGTCGTCAGCGCACATCTTTTGTAGCGGCGAGGACCCGAAATACACTTGTTCGCTCGGGAGAAGTGTGTTTCGGCGTCTCGCCGCAGCGGGGCGCCAGTACGTGGCTCTCTTCTCATCCGTTGTCTGCCCCTCCAACTTTTCCCTTTCGGCGGCCGCTTCTCGTGGCGATTTGCCAGGCTTCGTCAGTACATAGGCTATGACTGGGCTTTGACTTCGCGCGCTCCCTCGATATGCAGAAGGCGCCAAAGTCTCGTCCAAGGTAGGAAGCACGCGTTAGTGGCCGGACAACTGAAGTTGTCCGGGCTCTGCCGTTTTAACCTTGTCAGTGACTATAGCATGCTATATACACCAGGGGTCTCGAACTCATTTGAGTGTAGGCGCCAGATAGCCCACCCCCAAAACGTCGAAGGCCAACATAACGGAAGGGGGGAGAAGGGTGGGTATATATATATTTGTTTTAAAAACAGCGATGGCGCTTTACGTTGCAACGCGGCTGAGTCTTTTTTCATCATCAATGTGTCATTATGTGTCCGCGTGCTTTAAGTCATTAATGTGTCCGCGTGCTTTGGTATTTCGTTGTTGTGGTTCATCGGCGCCAGACTTGCCCGTTACTTGAAAAATGTAATGAATTACAATTACACATTACCGAGTATCAAATGGGATGGATTACAGTTACAAATTACTGTCGCTAAAAAGTAACGGATTACTTTACTCGTTACGTTACAAATTACTTTCACGTTATTTTTCCCGTACGCTCATCAAGAAAACAATAGAAACAATTTTGTTGTTTTCAAAACTGTCCCGCAACACTATTTTTCATTTGTCATACGCTCGGATTAGGATAATCATTGTAAAAATAAAATGTTGTATTTAAGAGTAAGGATGTATTTGACCTCCGTTCACCTCTAAGCTGACAAGGCAGCGAGAGCTGCAAACACACCCGCCATTCCGCTAGCATTCAGCGATAGAAAACGATCCCTGAAATTCTGCAAATAGAGCTAGCGGTGCGCATGCTCAGTAGCAGCGTTTACCTCCATTAGGAGATCAAAAAGACAACGCCTACTCGGCGTTGTCTTACTTGATCTTTATCTTTCGCATATTTGTACATGCCTTGCACGCTTCTCTATCGGTTCTATATAGTTACCGGTCATACAAAAATCGTGTTTTATTTGAGGCTATTCTTCTCTTCAAAATACTTTCTATTTTCTTGAACTTGCTCTTTTTATGCAACTGAATGTTCTACCTGTATTGGTCCAGTTACTGTATTATGCTCATATTTTTAAAAAAAGTAACGAGTAATTAAAGTAATCAGTTACCAATATTCTGTAACGAAATTACATTACTGCCGCAAAAAAAAGTAACGTGGCAATTTCAAAATTACTTTAAAAAAGTATCCGGTAACTTGTAACCAGTTACTTGTAACGGATTACTTCCCAAGTCTGATCGGCACTCACCGAGAGCGGGAGCGCAGACAATCCAGGCTATTTCTATATAGTATTCAGTGTGTTTTCCGGAACGCTGGCCAAATCGTTGCTGCGAAAAGTACGCGTCGTACAGAAGAAATGCTAATGTCGTATTTCATTCAACCAAGGCGCCCATTTGAGAAAGATGATAAGGTTCGGTATAATTTGTCTATTAATTACTTTCGAGTAATTGTCTCTTTTTTAATTGGTAAATTCAAAGAATGGATTTAATTAGACAATTACGGGGCATCGTCGAAAATCACTAAATCTACTCAATTCAGTAAGATCTAATAAACGTACAGCATTTACGACAATAAAAAATTATACAAATTATACCTATAGGCCTTATATATTTATGATTAGACGATTTCGTTTCATTCAAAAGCGTTATTCCTTTATTCTCGCTTGATAAGTACGGTTTATTGATGTGCATCCGCATCTTTCAACTATTTCCTTCTTCAGAGACGACGAAAATGCGAAGGAGGTGATGAGCTAGAATGTGCAGACGACGACCAGGCGGGTCAGTGAGTACATCCCCAGTATCACACTTTGTTATGTGAGGTCCCCAGGATGTCCTAATGCTTTGGTGATGTCCTATGAACGTACACAGGACATCCTAAGGACACTCAAAGAACTAAGTGTGCTACTATAGGGATGTCAACACCTCTACTGCCGTTCTGACCCTCCACTACTTGTTGCCTGATAGACCGCGTGTTCTGTATACCTGCCTGGTCGTCGTTCGCGCATTCAAGCTCATATGGCTAGCCACTCTACCGTACCGCAATACAATAGTCGACGATGGGAGCGTAACCCGGGCCCCAAGCCACCACGAGCGAACCCGAGAAATCGGCGGTTCGCAACGCTGTTCGTCACAGCGAACATAACCGTCGAATGTCGGCACCAATAACTGATTTATTGTGTTTTTCCCCCGTGAATTCGAAACAACAAACAAAAAACATAATAGCATACTCCGGAAGCGATCTCTAACTGAATTTCGTCTCTCTCTTTCTCTCTGCAGCAGGCCTAGATCGGAAGCCGATTCTCCAGAAGCCACAAATTGACGGGCTGTCGCCTCAATAAAGACAGAGCGACTCCGAAACCACCGCGGCGTCGACGCCACATCACTCCATCACCGCTTCCCAACGTGAGTGCATTACAACTCTTCGATCACGCCGCCGGACGACAATGACTTTCGAACGCACACACGCGCGGGAATCGGTTCGGAACGCCGTTATGCAAGAGTTGGCGGTGTTTGCTCTTTTCCTTCCAGAGCGATCACCCTCGGGGAACAATGGGTTGCCCAGCAGCTGCGGCGGCGGCGCTGTGGTTGTGCGTCGTCCTGATCGCCGTGACGAGGGGTACGTCGCTATCTTTCTTTCGATCTAAATTCGCTGGAAGCCAACAACGAGCCGCCGCGAAGCGCTCGTTGGGGGGGGGGTAGCATAAAACTGACACCACCGTTAGTAGTATCATTTTTGTTTGGGCATATGGGCTTGTACTCGGAGACAGCTTTTCTTGGCAATGCAGTCAAAGGGGTAAGGGTGCGCGTGCGCTTTCCTCCTTTCCTCGGAAATGCTAAGAAAAATTGTCTCGAGTTATAGTACCGTCGCCTTTGCTTTCAACATTACGTCAAGTATCATTTTATGGTCATCTCAGGATGCGGAGTATATTTAACTTTGTAGATGATAATGCTTTGCTATAATGCCGTGCGAATTGTTCTCTGGGTATTAAAAAAAAGGATTCATTATAATCTCACGTTTATGACGGAATAGTTTATTCGAGCTAAAGTAGACGACAAAGCTATTATGATCATAGTTAGTGCTGTCCAATGCGAAAGCTAGAACACAAATCGAAATACTCTGCGCAGGTGACTGTCACACTAAAATCAAGAAAATATTTCAAAACAGCTTTGAAGCGGTAATTTGTTCTAAAATGCCTGTTATGCCTTCTTGAGGCTACAAGGAATAGCGGCGTTATTCACTTAATATCCTTCTTTCGAGTACGATGACAATTCCGAAGTGCGAGAGTACAAGGATAAAATAGAAAGCTGCGAAACCAAGATGCCTTCGAAGAGCCACGCGTAACCTGAACTTCTTTCTCCGGAATCGCCTTAATAATCCATTGGATACGCCGTTGCTCGTCGGTTGGGAAAGAGAATGTGTGGACCTTAGGTTCTCCGGCATAATTTCTCCGGTACCAGGGCACGCAACACTTATAAGGCACTGATCCTCACAATCGCACACATGGTCGCCGACGAACCCAGCGAATACGCGGACGTCTTGTCTCAGCATTTCGAATGGCTTTCTACACGCTGCCCGATTGCGTACCTAATGACTGACTTTGCATCGCTTGCGAGCTGCCTGCAGTCTGATAAAGTTGCGACGTCACCTCGCGCAATCTTCAGCTTAAGTCTAAACGCAGCCGACGCTACGAGGTAATGGCAGCAATCGAGCGGCATCAAATCCGCAAGTCACTATACCCGTTTTCACCTCAATGTATACCATAGTGAAAGGAGTCCGGCTCCCCGCGGAGCGTTACTGATTTCCCCCTTTATGTAGAGAATTACGATATATATAGGTGAATTGTAGATTAGATATATCCTCTCTTCAAAAATTCTCCTCAAGAGGTCAAAAACACCCTGTATCTCACAAATATTCGGCCCATTCTAGAGTACGCTTCAGAAGTTTGGGATCCCCACCAGCAGTACCTGATAAATAGTATAGAACTGATACAAAACAGAGCCGCCAGATTTGTCCTTAATGCATACTCGCGTGGTCAAAGTGTAACTGCCATGAAACGCGATCTTAACTGGCAGCCTCTACTGAATCGTCGTAAATGCTTCCGCCTGAAACTCCTTCACAGCATATATTACGATCAGTGTGGAATTGACAAAATGCGTTATTTACTTCCACCTCACTTTATCTCTCGGCGCCTGGATCATAGCAGAAAAATTAGGCCTTTTTCCAGCAGAACAGACATTTACAAATACTCATTTTTTCCTTGTACAATACTCAACTGGAACAATTTACCTGAAGAGATCGTCTCAACAAGCGTAAGCTATCAATTTTATCAGGCATTGTCAGATTCTTAAAACCTGTTATTTCTACAAACTTCAGCTTTTTCTATATATATTCACGAGTGCAGTGTCTAGTTTTACGCTGGTTTGGGTTTACGTTTGTCTTTATTTTCATGTTGATTTCTCCTGGAAAGTCACATTTTGAGTTTTGACTGTTTAGGCAATTTAAGTGTTCTTTGGCGTCATGTTCATTTTGTATTTGCCCCTCCCCCGCTATAATGCCCTCACGGGCGCTGTGGGGTTATTTCAATAAACAATAAACAATAAACAATTATCAAGACGTCGCACACGTTCCAAACGCCAAAAGCATCGCTTTTCTATCCGACAACCAAATCTCGTAAGAAATATGCTTCGCTCCGCGTATGAACAATCCGCAAAACTTGATGTTTTCTTGAAGTGAAAACGGCCATAGGCCTTTTCTGCGTACGATTGGTTCAGCACTAATAGAACACGTACAGAAACGTGACGAACACCGCGATGGAGCGTTTTTGACGCCGTCTGATTGGTACCCTCAGGCCGTAGCGTCGGCTGCCTGTGACTTTAGGGGAAACGAAGTTTAGGACCAGTGACGTAGCTGAAGTAACAAAACGAAGCGCTCAGGCTTTAGTTTCTAGGGGCTCCAGACTCGGTCGAACACAAGGTTGGAGCCGAAAGTTCGCGGAGCGCGCCTATACGCAGAGGGCAAGTTCGTCTGCTTCTTTGGCAAGGGTTGTGCTAGCGTCAGAACACCTAGCTCTTAGTGGCTGATTTAAAAAAAAAAATACTGGGTGTCCCATGGAGCGGCCAGGCTCTTTAAATCGACCGCAAAATTCGGTTGCTTAACCCATCGCGCTACGAGTTTGTGCAGCGTTGCCCCCAGATGGTGCTTTTTTTTTTTTTGCTTTTTTTGCTTTTTTTTGTTGTAAAATTTAAAAAGAGCGAACTTACTTGAGGAAAAGGTAAAGAAAGAAAAAGGCTTAGCTCCTATGGAAACGCAGAGAAGCCAAGTTCAAACCATACTACGCCGTTTCGCACGGGAGACAAGAGATGGCGCAAGCGGTCGCGACGCCAACTGCCACCAACGAACGAGCATACGGCCAAAAGCGGCGCGCGTTCCGCAGGCGGGGACAGTCGCTGAAACAAAAACAGACGCGGTAACAACAATGAACTGCAAAGTAGACGACATAAGTACCACGATAAAACAGTCAAAATAACCCGACAAACCATTTTCTTAATCGATTATGTGTCCATTCAATGTTTTTCTTGTTAGTAAGGATGATAAAATAATGCGTTGGCATCTGATATGAAAAAAGATTGCGCCGCTTTTGAGTCGAAACGATCGTCTGCTAAAGACGCCGGCTCTCGGCGTCGTAGGCTCGTTCGTTGGCGGCAGTTGGCATCGTGACCGCTTGCGCCATCACTTGTCTCCCGTGCGAAACGGCGCCGTACTGTTTGAAGACCGGTGGCTTCGCTGCATTTCCGTAGGAGCTAAGCCTTTTTTTTTTCTTTACTTTTTCCTCACAAAAAAAATGCATCATTTGCGGACAAAGCTGCACAAAATCGTAGCGCGATAGGCTAAGAAACCGAATTTCGCGGTCGATTTAAAGAGCCTGGCCGGTGCTTGGGTCACCCGTTAGTGGGTAGACCTCAAGGCATCTAGCATTGAGGTCTAGCCACTATCCTTTCAATCAAAGACAATGAGAGCTCAGGGTCACCGTGACGTCACCGCAACTCATGCGCAAGGAGCAGACGACTTGCTCTCGGCATTGGATTGCGGCGGTAAAAGTACGGCGTCATCGTCGCGAGAGTCCAATCTCTTTGTTCCATGAGTCTATACTCTTTTACACCTTAAAAACCGTAGTACAAAAAAAGAAACTTTCAGCTTTTTTTTTTTTATTTTGGTGAAGAAGGAAAAGCAGCGGAGCTGGAGCTTGTGTTCTCGGCGGTGGCTTTCCAGCCGAGCTATCTGCTCTTCTTTCGCAAGGGAATCCGAAGCGCTCGACGCAGTGGAACTTTAGGCGATTCGCGACTCCGACTAACTATAGGCGGCGCCACTTATTTTCCAAAATGGCGGTTATAGTGAGGGTCAGAGATGCGTGCCGCTGTTGAGCCTGTCTATAGTCGGTTACAAGTCAAGAAGGTAGCGGCAAAAGCCCCTCAAAAAGAATCTTGTATTCCTCCGCCACCAATCGCATCCCGTTGTTTCCGTGACGTCACGACCTGCCCGAACCAATCTTGTTCTGGCAAATGAATATTTTCAATATGGCTGCCGGGCAGATTTTCTACGGCTCAAGTATCTTGCAGCAATTATTCTGTTTTTAATGCGGTTTTTCACTTACCCGAGCATACGCCGCTAAGTCGTAACCGCGTCCACTTTTGTTCGCAATCGGTTCTGGGCGACAGTGTGAGAATCCAGCGATAGCATTGCCATCGAAAATTTCGATGCGGGAGTAAGGCCTAGCATCGTACATACGTCGAACGCCGTCTGCTTCTCTGCCTCGGGTTGCGCCTCAACATCGTGAAGGCATCGGCTTTTCTTCGCAGTGGTTTCCGTGGAGCGACGTTAAAATGCAGCGGTCACCAAACTCTTCTTTATAAGTGTAGTGGGCTGTGCGGGAGGGGCATAAGTGAACCGCGAACACAGTAAGTGTCTTTACCCAATTTCGACCGTACCTTTGCTGGCGTTAATAAATAGTCTGTCTACTGAAATGACGCTTTCGAAGCAGTATGCATTCATCTGTGAAACGTGGCGTCCTTTTCAAGCTTCCGCGTCGCAATCGGCTGCACGGTAATCTATGACTGCGATAGTACCCGCGGGTAGACCCTCGTTCGCAATAATGAGCTGTTACATACAGGTGGCACACAAATGATAAAGCCAGTGATGCCTATGTTACAAACATTTAATTGATATTGTTTTGGAGGTTAAGAAGCTGATGTCTTCTTTTGGAAGAAATACCAGAGAATTTGAGGGAAGCAGATTCGGTTCTCTCAAATGCTTCCGAACATTCTGCTTGCTCTCGAGGCGCTGTCAGTCGTATGTTTATGCTTCGAAACCCGGGTACGTGACGCGTGTACCTCCACTCGCGTTGCGTCGCGGCCTGAGGTATTACCGGTAAACACGCACCAATTTTTCCAGTTTACTTTAGAAGGAAAATGTGCACCACAATACTGGATCGCAGCATTGGTTTAATAATTTGTGAAATATGAAAAGTATGGTCAATAAAAATTGATTGTAAGGGCAGCTTCCCGCTTCATGAATTGTGGCTTTCTTATATGCGAAATATTTGTTTAAATCAAGAATTG